ATACTAAACTTTCTAAAGATACTACTAGCTGATAAAATGATACTAAAATGATAATAGAAATAAGCAATACTATTTTTCTTCCCTAGGAATTTAACTAAAATTTCAGTCTCATAAAAGAAATAATTTAGTCTAAAAACAGTACTCTTTTATAACTAGCTTTTTACATGAAAATTTACTTTGTTGCTGTCACAACAAATGCCATCACCTAAAATGACCATCAAACTAAACTGTGCTGAAACTCCTAAGTCAGATTCCAGGCTGATTTTTTTTTTTTTTCCTTTTTCTCCCCAAAGCCCCCTGGTACATAGTTGTATATTCTTTGTTGTGGGTCCTTCTAGTTGTGGCATGTGGGACGCCGCCTCAGCGTGGTTTGATGAGCAGTGCCATGTCCGTGCCCAGAATTCGAACCAACGAAACACTGGGCCGCCTGCAGCGGAGAGTGCAAACTTAACCACTCGGCCACGGGGCCAACCCCCAGGCTGATTTTTTAGGATGCACCAACTCCTCCAATCAAGGACAATGGTCAACTGTTACATAAACAATCACTAGGTTGGGAATGGAATAATCCAGACAGGTAAAATCTACTTCTTACCCCATGGCTATTGAAAGTTGTTGGAAAACTCCCCGTCCAGCATAATTTAGGATGATGGCCTTCAGTGACTAAAGGTGTGCTACTTCTTCCTGTCAGGATACTGTACTGGTGTGTTTCAAACGCTAACATGCATCAGAACCACCTGGAGGGCTTGTTAGAAAAACACTGCGGCCAACCTCCTTGCGTTTCTACTTCAGTAGGTCCGGGTTGAGTTGGTGAATCTGCATTTCTAACGAGTTCCCAGGTGATCCAGTGCCGATGGTCCATCCGGGGACCACAGTTTGGGAATCACTGCTGTTTTAAGTGATTATGGATAAAGATGTCTGGAGAGAGAGTAGTACATTCTCTTGATGGGTGTGGCAGAAACGTTCATATTCATTTACAACTCTTCTGCCAAAAGAATCAAAGCAATTGGGTAATGGAGGTAATTTCATGGTTGACAATTTAAAATGGTCCATGAGAACCTTCTCCTTCACTAATCTAATCTGTCTATATAGTAGTAGTTAGCAATTAGGGGATACTAAGCTATCTAGTTAAAACTGAGTTATTAAATGTTGGAGAAGAAGAAAGGAATCTTGACTATCACAGACCAATAAAAGGAAAGGTTTGACCATAAATTCTAGTTTTGTTTGCACAAACAAATTTGGGAGAGTTTGGTAAAAGCTTTCAGATAATTTTGGAAATGGCTTCAGATTAAAGATGACAGATTGACTCACACTTGTTTATCTTCATTGTCTGCTGAAAAGGACAGTAAGGGAACATGAAAGGATAAATCCACAGGGACATAGAGCACGGAGGAGGGGTCATCTGCCAAAGACATATTTCAATACAATTCTGGAAGAAGGGGTGGATGGAGGAGTGGAAACTGGTTTAACAGGACAGTGGAAGCTATATTCTAATGTCATCCCAGAGGTCAGTACAGAAGCAGCTCAATTACCCTACAAAACCCCAGAGGCCTGGGTCTTGGAGATGCCAGAGATCATCAGAGGGAGATGCTGGTGAGAGGCCCCAGGATCCCAGAAGTGAAGGAGAGATGAGAGGCAGGGGGCCGAGTGAATGTGGGTATTTGGAGATGTTAGATCCTCAGGTCCCTGTCCCACTCCTTGCACCCAGGCGATTACCTCCAACATGAGAAACAGGAGAAAGGCTTGTACACCATGCATAAAGAAGGGCAGGAGTAATGCACCTACAAGAAAGAAAAGAACCTGAAAGACTGCATACTCAGCAGTGACTCACCCACACCCCTTCCCCTCAACTGCTTCCAGAATATAGGCAGCCAGGTGAATGTCCCCTCAGGCAAGAGATTGCAGATATTTCTTTTGAGGAACTGAAGAGCCCAAAAGAAAAGACCTCTAGTTTCTACATTTAGGGGATCTTCCTAAGGAAAGACCAGATTTCACCTGATCACCATACAGCAAGCCCATCGGTGAGTAAGTGCCCTCTCTCCCACCCCTGTACGTAGAGTTTCCAGTTTCTGGTGGGGTTCCACGACCTCGCTCTTAGACTCTTATGTATGAATGGAGTCAAAGGTTTGCAGACATTTGGCAAAAGCCCCCAACATGATGGGACTAACACAGATACATGCGAAAAAAGGAAGCCGAAAGAAGGCAGGAAGCAGAATAAAACCATATAGCAAACACCCTCAAAAGACAGAAGAAATTACTGGAACCATGACATAATCTTGGAATTCTATTTAAAAAATAACAGATAACATGAAACGAGCTCTTAGGATAGCTGAGATAAAAACTTCAGTCGAAAGTAAAGTAACTAAATATTCCCTAAAGTAGAACAAAAGATGAAGAGAGGTCCAACAGGAAAGAAAAATAATTCTAAGATTAATTCAGAAGATCCAAGATCCAATTGAGAAGAGTTTCAAAAAGAAATGGGTGGACAAAAATTGAGGACTTATTATGTGTTTGGCAGTGTTCTAAGTGGCTCATAGATATCAGTGAGGTAACTATTATTACTGCCTCATTTTACAGATGAGGAAACTGGAGCATAGGGAGAGTAAGTGACTTAACCAAAGTCACGTGGTAGAGTCAGTATTTGAACTCGGGCAATCTCTTCCCAGAGTTTTTATGCTCTTAACTACTCTGCCAGGATGGTCTTCCCCAAAGGAGAAAAGATTACTAAAGAAATATTTCAAGAAAATTTCCTGAACCAGACATAAGCCTTCAAACTGAAAGGGTCCATTGAGTGCCCAGCACATAATTATGAGATTTCAGAATATTAGAGATCAAGAGCTTATTCCACAAGTTTCCAGAAAGCAAAATTCCAGGTCACAAAGGAATGGGAATCAGGATGGCACTGGAATTCTCAACAGCAACACTGGACACTAGAAGATAAAAGAGCAATTTTTATAAACTTATGAATGAAAATTTTCAACTTAGAATTCTCATCTCCATTGGAACAGGAGGACAGTGGACTTTTGGAGGGATGTTTCCTGGGGGGAGGGGGAATGGAATTGATTGTTTGATAATTTGGAAAATAAATTTGCTAGTCATTTTATAGATATGTTGTAGAAAAAGTATCAGGATGGGTGCGTACCAAAGTAAACAGACAAAAGGTTTTGTAAGAAAGAAAACAACCATAGTGCACTAGTCTGCTCTGTTGTGACTGATATTTGCACAGTCATTGACTACGTGCTATCCCTAAACTGTGAAAGAGCTATGTTGGTTGAATGGCAGAAGGGGAAACTGGGTGGGATGTACAGCAGTATAAATTATTTAGAATATGGGAAGTAAATGGCAGAAGAGACAGTTAGAAGTGGAATGTGGTTGCCTCTGGAAAGGAGGTTAAGAAGGTAGAGGAGAGGTGGGTACTGTATCATCTTAAAATATTATATTATCTTTAAGAAGTAAGTGTGCGTGGGCTGGCCCGGTGGTGTAGGGGTTAGGTTCCACGTGCTCCGTTTCCATGGCCAGTTTCATGGGTTCCAATCTCTGGCATGGACCTATACCACTTGTCAGCCATGCTGTGGTGGCATCCCACATACAAAATAGAGAAAGATTGGCACAGATTAACAGGCTCAGTGCTCAGGGCTAATCTTCCTCAAGCGAAAAAAGAGGAATAGTGGCAACAGATGTTAGCTTAGGGCAAATCTTCCTCAGCAAAAAAAAAAAAAAAAGTGTATGTGTTTCTACTGTCTTTAAAAAGTAACAATAAAATTTTGAAATTCATTTGTTGAGAGTGAAAACATAGAACAACCAAACCTTCTTTCATAATGTAATTTTCAGGAAGTATCTGAAAGATTAAAACAGAAGTTGTATCAACTCTGGCAATGTAGTATTAACTTGAAATAAAATACGGTAAGCTTTTCATGCCCTCCTTCATTTCCACAATTCATATGTATGGGCTAGATCCCTGTCAGAACTTCCACAAATACTCTTTGGGAGCAGTGGTTATAAACACACCTTTGCTAATTCGTGTTGTTTCCAACTAGAAGAAACAGAACCACAAAGAAGTCAGTTTCAACCTGAATTGTTTCTGTAGCAACCATATTAAACTGGAAGGATAATACACTTTTGTAGTCGCTGCTTCTATTGAATTACAACGTAAATGTTGATGCCTGCCTGGAAACGTCAAATGACAACAGGTTTATGGAACAGATTCAGTGGTTGTTTGCAGTTCTGGAATCTCAGGCTGTAGAATTGAGACAGAAGAGGTGCGCCTGGGCCGTCTTAGTATCTAGTCAACCGAATCTCCTCACCCCATCAAAACCACACCACTCCCCATCTGCCCAGCTCATGAAAGGATGCTCACCTGTTTGAAAATCTGCAATCTACCTAGTATCTTTTACACATCGGGACACGAAACGTGTTTATTGTGGATAAGAATGTTAAAAATGCAATTACGCAACGAACCCGTCGATCTTTCTGTCCCCCCCACCCCGCCCGCTCCAGCAGAAAGTAAACTTCAGTTCTGTGCTCTTCTGACACTGTCATACAGTCCCCTTAACGTGGATATTAAAAGCCTCGTGGTTGTGCTGCGCATTCGATTCCGGCTGGCTTGCGATACCTGAGTTCAGCTCTCCTTAGTCCTTCCGTTCGACCCACAATCCCTAGTGGTTGCAGGTGTTGCCTTTTTTCCTGGTTCCTTCTTTCCCTCCAGGCACCCCACCCCCAGCCCCGACCCCGGGCCGGCCTCCGTGAAGAAGGAAAACAGCGTGAAGTCTACTCGAAGCACTGACCCTCAGCTCCCACGGGCTGCCGCAGAGCTGCAGGCGTGCCGCCGCTCCACTCAGGTAAACTTCGGAATGAGTTACCTGCACTTGGAGAAGGGCCTTACCTGAGCGCGCCTCTGCCAATGGCAGCTCACCTGAGGAAGCTCCGCAGCCAATCACCGCGCAGCTCGTCCCTCGGGCTTGTACCCTTTAGTGAAAGAATTCAGCTCCTTGCGAGAAAGTTACCTGTGGCCGCCCAAGTCCGCCACTTTCTGCTCTGTGGCTGCCCACTGCCACCATCCAGGAGGACTCCGCGCCGCCCGGCCGCCTCCGAGCTCGGGCCCCATGTGAGGGGCCCCCCCTTATCCCACCTTTCCGGCTAGGTGAGGGCGCGAGCAGGCGAGCGAGCGAGAGTGGTGAGGGGGGACGGAAAAGCAGAATTACCTGTAGCTCTTGTTCTGCCATCTCGGGCGCTCTCACACACCTTCACCTGCACAGACTTGAAAGTCCAGTTTCACCAGAGGCTGAGGCTCCAGGAAAAGGGGAGCGAGTTCATTGGATCAAACATGTCACAAGAGTCGGACAAGTAAGTGGATCACACGCGCCGGCTGCTGCTACTACCACTTTGGGCTGATGGCAACTGGTTTGTTATGTTTTTTTTTTTTTTAAGTTGCTATTGTTGGTATTTTTTTCCTTCTTTTTTCTTTTTCTTTTTGGTGTATCCAGACTTTTGCAGATTATGTTTCTATCCTGATTAAGGGAAGAAACCCTACAAGAATGTGGATGTTTAATACCCCCTTTGGGCCTTGATAGTCCAAGTAGGTTTTGCTCCTTCCTGCCTGCCTTACCGAAGATCTCAGCTCCCGTTTCCCAGAACGAATGCTTGGATGTTGGCAGAGGTTTTGGTAGATGAAACGGGAACCTGTTATTTCCCCCTCTCTTTTAGTTGCTCCCACCGCTTCAGGCTTCTAGGGCCATTTGGAAATTCAGCTGAGGTCCTTCGATTTGTCCAAAGGGCCTGCTGGAAAAGCGGGTCTTGGCGGCTTTTGTGTGAGCGCAACAAAGAGCCTTTATATCGAAGCAGAAACGGCCATCTTCCCGCACTGGGGCAGGAGGGAGTGCGTGTGTGCGCGCCCGCGTGTGCGCCCCCGAGGGGAGGCGAGGCGCCGGGGCGGCCGGCATCGGGGGGGTAGCCCCGCGGCGTCCCTCGCCGCTGCCCCTGCCTCCCGGGCTCCGGTCCACCCCTGCATTGTTTGGCCACCTTACGCAGGTGCGGGAGGACAGGGCCTTTCGGAAATGAGGGGAATTGATTTGAGGCCCGAGTTTGCGCCGCCGTAGGGCGCAAGGGGCGCCTGCGACTTGTCGATTCGCCCAGGCCGGACGGCGGCTGCACGCCCTGCGAGCCCGCGGCCCTTCCCTCCGCGGCCCGGCCCGCCCAGGCGCTCCGCGCCGGAGGCCGCCACCTCGGGCGTGGCTGGGGGCTGCGTGGGTCGCGCCGGGCCTTCCCGGGGGCTCTAGGCTGGAACGGCGGGGGCCCGGGGCGGCGGGGCCCGGCTTCCCGCGCCTGGGAAGGCGAGCGGGGAAGCGCGTCCTTCCCGTCCGGGACCCGCACTGGCCTCGCAGGGATCGGCGGCCTGCGCGGCCAGAGTCGCAGGGCGCCAGGCCCGGTCCGGTCGCGTCCAGGCGGCCTCCCGGCAGGCCTGGCCCCCGCCCTCGGGACGGCTTTGTGCTGGCTGAGGGAGGTGGGGCCGAGGGCGGGAGCGCGAGGGAGCCGGAGGTGGGTCCCGCGGCCTTTCTGGGGATTCGGTGCGACACTCCCTTCCCCCTCCTCTCGGGTGCGCCCCGGGCTGGGAACTGGCAGCGTCCTCTTGGAGTGCGCAGGGGCCCCTTTTTGCTTTCTCCGATAACATTACCCTGGTGGTGTGCCCACCCCAGGGGACCTTCCTGAGGGTGTCTCGGCTGGGACAAGGGCCGCAGGCACCTCTCCTGGAGAAGTGGCTGGAACCAGTCCCAAATTGAGGGACCCTGAGGGGGCGGCGGGAATGCCCTGCGGACCTGTCCAGGGCTGGACGGGAAGGACCATGCTCAAGGCAAGCTGCTGGTAGGATAGGCGCATCTAACAACACGTGCTGTCATACTTACGTAAAAAAATCTCCCAGATAGTACCCCGTTACCCACCAAGGAGAAATTGCGTGCTACACGGGGACGGGGAGCACTAGCGTTACAAACACCGGAAGAGGGTAGGAGTAGGGTAGGGATAGAATGTTCTATGATTCTATGACTGTACCCCGACTCCCACCTCAAGTTCCCTCTGTAGCGTTGAAGAAATCACTACTCGAGTTTGAAGACTTCAATAGTCAAAAGCCCGGATGACAGCAGGGTTTTTTGGTTTGTTTTTATCTTCGTGTCAAAAATGGTTGCAAATCTAGTGAACATCGGATAAGATGACGTAATTCTTAATTAAATCACACAATTCACATTTGGTTGCACTGCGTAGTTTTGTGATCCAACATGACTCGAATTCGGAATGAAAACCGATCGGTTTTTATTTTAGCCTCTCATACTTAGCACCGATACAGACTATTTAGTATTGAAAATAAGTTCTGAGCACCAGCAGTCTGGTTTCACTACGGTGCATTACCTAATTTTTATGGGTAATAACTATCTGGGAATATCTATACTTACACTTAAAGAAAGTAGCTTTTATCTAGTCATCATTTCCAAGACTTAATTTTGTATCTTGGGAAAAATACTAACAATACCCCCTGAAAGAGCATTGAACCCCTCTTTCCTCCTTCTGCTTGGACTATTGAGAAATGTTTGAAATTAATAAATGATTTTTGGATCATTTTTGGAAATTTTAGCCTAGTTTTCTCAATGTTAATATTCGAATGGAGAACTGGCAGATATGGGTCCAGCTTTTATGGGCCTAAAGCTTATGCAATTGTGTATATTAGGTGGGGTGGGGGTGTGGGCTCTAAGAAAAAGAACATGTCGCTGGGGCTCCCTGCCAGAGCAAAAGAGGGCTCCTGAACCTTGAGCTTTACCAGCTTTATGGTAAATCCACCTAGGAGGCTTGTCTGTGTTTTCTGGAAGTAACCTAAAAGAATACACACAGTTATTTTTCCATACACATCAAAGTGTAAGTAATCTTTTGGATTGCCTACGAAGATAATTCCAATTAGCAAGTCTGGACTGAAGTAGCGTAGTCTTTTAGGGTTGTGGACTTTTCAGATTGTGTTCTGCAGTGTTGATGCTATCACTAATTAAAACAAAGTTTTTTAGGACAGTTTGTCTTTGTACACATTTAAAAACTCTCTGCTTCTCCTTTCTTAAATTTTATGAAGATTTATGATCTTGTCAACAAGCATGTGTATTCTTGCAAGGCAATGATAGTTTTAGAAATTCTTATTTTACTGCCAAAATATATAAAATATATTCAGAGAGAATATAATATATATAAGTATATAACATATGGTATATATAGATATGTTATATATTCATTTATATAAATATATGTATATAAAATATTATATATAAAATATATCCTCTATGAATATATGTTATATATATGACTTTATATATATAATTTTATTTGATGCCCCCAGGTGTTTTTCATTACATAAACATGTTTTCTGATTACCTACTATTTGCAAAACAGATAGGCATTATAAGAAAATAAAAAGATGTATAAGATGGGCCATGTCCTCACAGGGCTTCACTCTAGTGGAAGGTAAGACTTGAACAGACACAATTTTAATTAAGGCAATACCTGGTAAGTGCCTAAAAGTTACCAAGAAAATACAATAGTATATTTGTCAAGTCATAGTGTATCTATCTCCCTTCTCCCTAGCCACCCCACTTTTGCCTAAGAAATTACTTTTAGTCATTTTGTGTGTTTTATCTTAAGGAGGCGGGCCATTATTCTAGAAAGGAAACAGAAAATGCCCAAAGTTATAGGTATCTTATGTGGATAACCTTTCAAGTAATGGGATGAAACATTTTAACTAAACTTTCTAATCTTTAGTTTTATAAATGCATATGTTTGTTTCTATTTGGCTATATAAAATATCTTTTAAGATCACAAATATTAACATTAATCATATCTACCTCAAACCACTAAAAATACTCATTTATTCAGCACATATGTCTTGAATGCCAGTCTCTATGGGGCATTGAGACTCACTAGCACGCAGAACCAAGTCCCTGCGTCATGGTGCTTGTATTGTGGTGCCAGGAAACAGAGAGTAAACCATCGAGAGGTGAATACTAACAGGTTAGACGGTGTTAAGTGCTTTGAAGGAAAGCAAAGCACTTAAAGGGATTGGGAATAATAGGCAGCCGTTTTATATAAGGTGGTCAGGGATGGGCTCTCTGATAAAATAACCTTTAAGCAGAGACCTGAAGGAAGTGAGGGATGGAACACTGAAGATACCTGGGGTAAGAATGTTACAGGCAGATGGAAGAGTGAGTGCAAAGGCCCTGAGGTAGGAGAGTGCTTAGCATATTCTAGAATCAGAAGGGAGCCAAGTGTGGGTGAACCAGAGGGGTAGAGAGATAATGGCCCTTTTAAGTAATCTAACATAATCAATTCACTACTAAATAGTCCAGACATTTAGATACACTCAAAACCAGGCAAAATGATGCTTATAGATGGTCGTGGCAGTCAACAGGTGAGTGTAAATAAAGAATCAGCTAATACTGCCAGTCTTGTCTTTTTCCTGAGTATCACCAGTTTAGTGGTTAGGGTCCAGTGTTCTCTTCCCTACAATGGATTCAAACCTGTGTGCGCTTCATTTAGGGATTAAAAATGCACGCATCCTAGAAGACCCCTGGGAATTAGAACTGAAGAAGAGGGACCAAGTACAGATGGTGTTTGCACTGACACTGTCGCCTCCCTGAAACTCTTGCTTTAACTTACCGCTCTTCAGCCAGTATCTCAACGCTTTAACAGGAGCCTCTAGCAAAATAAGGCTCGTCTTTCCTGCCTTCCTCTTGTCCTCGTTCAGTTTCTGCAAACTTGTGTCCATCAGAAAACACAGGCTCGTCCATTGTGTGTGGAAGTGAGACACTGCAAACAGTGTGCTTTGGTTAGTTTTGCATCTTCAGTGAAGGGAACTAGCATACAGGCAGAGTTAACCTACTTGAAAAATAAGATGATGCTAGCCAACAACATGAAAATTGGAATGATTAAAAAAAGTTTAGGATAATTACATATGTGCTTACTTAATAAGAATCTTCATAGGAAGCCTTTAAATCGTTGCTGCCTAAAATCATCTGATTACAAAAATATCAACTGAGA